CTATCTTGTACTATGTTGATCATATTAGATATTTCCATCATAGAAGGAGCATGTTCTTACTTGAGTAAATTTTTACACTTTATAGATTTGGTTTCCTTACACATAATGTTTCTGTTGAAACTACCATCCTAAGAAATTATAGAATGCTTTATTCAATATAATAGAGTTAAACAAAGTATTGTTTCTGACCAAGTGAGCCTATGTTCACGGTATTTACTGGTATGACAATGTTTCCTGAAACTGACTGAATTGTACAACTGGCTTTCCTGAGTCTCCAGATTTATGAGACTTCAAAGAATTCATAATTGCATGAGCCAAGAAGACATACAAAGTTTAAAGGAAATGAGTTATTGAATAAAATATATCTGTATAGATATTTGCACATAAATTATGTATATATGTATCCTCTATATATGAAAGATATATGTATCCTCCCCTCTATAAATAAATGTATGTATATCCTCTCCTCTCTAAAAACATATGTATATATATATGAAGATATTTATATATCCCCTATTTTGTTTCCTCTAGAGAATCTTTTTAGTACATTAATGTAGAGACTGATTATACTACATCAGTAGAGCAGAAGTTAACATAAAATTGAACAAAGCAAATATACAGAATTATGAGATAAAGCATAATTACCCTAGCCATTTTGTTTTACAGTGATTTGTTGCATAGATTATTTTAAGATCAATAATGATCTCTTGGATGTCATCACAATCTTAATACCCTAAACCTGAAAATATATTACTTTACATGAATAAAATGGCATTGCAGATGGGATTAAGAAACATGAGAAAAAAAGAGTACACAAGATCATTAAAGTGGAAAAATGACCATTGCAACCCTCCTTGAAAGAAAGTCATGAATGAAGAATTCTCCATCAGAGGAATGGATATCAAGGCAATAGAAATCAGGGCAATTGTTATTTCTGAAGATAAAAAGGAAGCATGAGTCAAAAGATGTGGGCAGCTGATAGAAGTCCTAAAGTAAGTAATGCTATTGGCACTTTGATTTTGGCTCAGTGATACTGACATCAAACTCTAAATTCTGGAACATAGGATAATGAAAGTTTGCTTTATTTTAAGCACCTTTCCTCATTGTGAATTCTTACAGCAACAATAGGAATGAATACAGAGACACCTATAAGTAAAACAGATACTGATAACTCTAATAAAATACTAAAATTTTTGTCATCAGCTATGTGACTGTAAAGGAGATAGTCTGAATGTAGATAAACAGACTAATAGTGAAGTTTCCCAGAGTAGTGAGGAAATTGCTTTCAAGATTGGAGCCAAAGAAAACCATGCTTGCAGAACATTTAAGCATATTGCTTCCTGTGATGAATTGGAATATAAGAAAATGAATCTAATTAATTTATAGATCTAAAAAAAGTTAGATAATATATTAAAAGTGATAATCATTTTTTATTCTTACTTTTAGATAAAATAAGTTGGTGTAAGAGAGAGAAATGCTACTTAGATGCATGTTTAATTTCCAGCCAAAGTTAGAAGAACTGTTTCTTATCTAAGCCATTTACTCTCATTCTTTTCCTTTCCAGGAGTCAACAGTTTCTCAAAAATAATAAGTGACATAAAGGCAAAGATAGAAGTTCATATATTACCAATAAAACTGCAAAAATCCAACATCTTGTTTCATGGTGATTAAAGTTGCAAGTATGGTTTCTGAGTTGGTAAAAATTTCATTTATACTTTTTTGAGACTTTTTCCACTTAGAGTTAGTAAAGGCTCTTCATATAGTCAAACCAGGGTAATCTGTGTACATGTTCATCCCTTCCTTTACGTTCACTTTGAGTCCTTGCTTACACATAAATAAGATGCCTCCTTCTTTTTTTCCAACCAATGCTTTAAATGCAAACATAATTGAAATTTTTAAAATACCTCCACTTTAAAATAGCACCCCAAAGATAATTTCTTATTACACGTACTATAGATGCATAGCATTCAAATATTCTTCAATAGAATGTGTTAATTATCTTTTCTTCTATGTATCAATCTTTTCAAGTCCATTTCTGGCCTTCATCTTAACTGACAGTAAAAGGAATAAGTGGAGGGGATGAAAAATGTGGAAATAAGAGGTAAAGGAAGGCACTGAAGAAAATGAAATAATCAAGTTAATCTTTTTCAAGTATGAAGCCATCTAAAGAGTAAAAATGTCTGTCTTTTATAGACTTCCATATTAATAAAAGTCAGAATATATTAAATTTTGATGAATTTGATGTTGTTCTAGCATAATTTTTCTTCCCTCCCAGAGAAACCATAAATACACAAAAATGATATTTTGGTAAGATGATTTAAACTATTCCCAAAATTTAAAATAAATAAATTATAGCTTGTTTTGAGAACAGAGTTATCAAATGTTCATATGTAAAAAATTTTTCATAAAACAAGAAGCATTTTTTATATTTTGATAATATTCTCACTTATATATTGAAAATTTATTTTTAAAATTCGTGTGTAGAATGTTGAAAACATTTATGATATGAATTTTAGAAGACAATAGAAAACACGCACTATGTCACAAGGAGAGAGAATTTATATTAGGCAATGTTTTCAAAAAAGTCATCCTCGGTTGAATTATCAAAAATATTAGAGTCTTGGTTTTAATTTCTATTTTATGTTATACTTTGCATTTCATTATAATCAACTTTTTTGTAAATACAGACTACTGAAAGAACATGCACAAGATATAAATATCCTTCTGTTCACCCTTCAAAATATACCTAATCCTAGTTTTATTTGAAATGTGTAAGTACTCTGTAATTTGTAAAATATACATTGAAAAACACCCCCTTGAAAAGCTTAGATTCAGTATTAAGTACTAAAGACTCAGCTGTATTTTACACTCATTTTTAGAAATATGAAAAATATCTTTAAAATACATGAATAATGATTGGCTTCTTATCTTTAAAAACTCATGTCTATAAGAAGATGTAAGAGATAAATTTCCACCATGAAGTAGAATACAAGGTTTTTATTGTAAACTTGTTCAAAAAGTCTTTTTCATTACTTTAGTTTTTAAAGCATCACTTTTTTTTTTTTTTAATTAACTTGGGTCTGTACTCTGGCTCAAAAATTGTATAGGTTTTGAATGGTCTATTCTAAACTTTATTTTTTTTTCTCCAAGTCTTATTTTTTTAAGTAAATGATTTTGCAGAGCACCAGGGTTGAGGTTAAGGTAAATGTTGTTTTAAAGCACATTCTCTCACTTTTGTCAGGGTGCCTGGCATTTGTAAGCTGACAAATATTTAGCATGTGAAGAAAAATGTCTCTAATTCAATAGTGTGTATTGAATTTCAGTGTGCAACAGAGTCACATGAAAATCATGTTAAAACAAATCTGTGAGGGGTCTTTTCTAGAAAGTTGTGATTCAGCGGGGTCTCTAGCTGAGTCCAGAAATTAACATTTTTCGAAATTTCCTTGGTGATGCTAGAGCTAGTGGTCAGAGGGCGAGTCAGCATCTTGAGTGCAACTCCTCTAACCAACAATTTATTTTTTGAGCCAGACAGATGGAAGAGGCCAAAAATCATGAATTAGGTTGATGCAAGGTGACAGAAAGCATTTTCTTCTTTTAATATCTAGAGATCTGTCTAGAAATTTTCTAAAGTTATAACTATTTGTCAGTTCATAAGCTTATTCTTTTTAGAGATATTACTAAAATAAACATAAAATTCAACACTTTATTAAAGTAAAAGTATCTTTACTATTAATATACAAATGGTGAAGAGTGACAATTTTGATATACTGTAAGCCATACTTTCAATGTCTCTCATAAATACAAAACTTCAACATTTGCAGTATAATTTTTACAGTTTAGACATATATATACAGCATTTCATAGGGACATACTATAATGAAACAATTTTTTTAAACCTCATGGTAATCAATTTAAGAGTATAGAACTTGAATGGAATATATAAGTTAAAGAAAAGACAGTATGTTTTAATGCATACCAAACAAAATAGAATTCTCATACCAAAAAAGTGATTTTTGTTAAGTTTTATTTCTAAGGAGTTCACCTATTTCTAACATGGATTAGAGGCAAAGTTTAAGCCATTAACATTTCCTTGAGAGTTGGAACAGTTACATTTGTTCTTGACAGTACCATTTATTTTAAAATATGCATATTTTTTCTAAAGTAGAAAAATTTATTTGTAAATTTAATCATAAGTTCTATCTCTGTGAGCTTTCTCTACTAGTTTTCACTGGGATTTCTTCTTTGCTTAAGTATTAGTGGTTTTAATTTTCAAAGAAGCAATGTTCCTGCTCCCTAATATAGTGCTTCTCACAGTCAGGTCCTCTAGCTATTGCAAGCGTAGAAGCTGTTTGACATTTTTGCCTTCCATTTCTTTGTTCTTCTACTTTCCTGTCTGGTAGATATTGATTTGTTCCAACATTCATTGCTTTGCTTATTCTTTTTCCATGGAAGGCTAAAACTAGATGTCTAAAGATACATGTTTTCATATCAGAAGAGGAAAATAAAGTTGTAATATATAAATTTATACTTTTAACATTTATAATTATAATCAGGAGCATTTTGTGGTGAGAAATCTGAAAATTGTACAAAAAAGATGTGATACCAAGTAATAGATTTAAGTTATTGGTGAGGTCCTATAGTGAATAATGAACTGCCTTTCTAAGTATATTAAACATATTATCAAATAAATATTTACTATTATATAATATAAAGGTCTCTGACTTTAATATGGGAACAATAATCTCTAAGCATTCTTGCATAATCTTGTTAAACAGCTGCATCTACGTGAGTAAATGCAATTTTTACCAAAGGGAGAGTGAACCCTGGAAGAAAAGCATATCTATTCAGCAACTATTGTTTAGGCCCTTTTATAACTTTCTCCTTTGCACCCAAAATTATTTCATCTTGAAACATCCTTAAACCTATATGTAGAATACTTCCTTGAAAGATTTTCATTTTGTAATTGGAATGTTTCATTTCTTTGAGTTTGTACATTTTAATTTTAGCATATGTCAATATACCCATATGCAGTTTCAATTTGTGAGACTATGTAAGAATGCTCCAAATGGTTAATAAGAAGATGTAAATCTTTTCTCTCTAGAGATAAGTAATGTTAACAATTTTATTTAAAAAGTGTTTTCATCTTCTCACAAAGTTTGTTGAGTAAAACACTCTGTATATGACTATGAAAAAGGACTCCATGAGGATTTCAAATAGAGCATTTACTTCATTCTCCATGAAAAAGAGCATGGATAGTTTCATAAATAATTATAATATTCTATGCCAATATTCTTAAATTATGAAATGAATATTTTTTCTACCACTTCAGTCATAGATATTTTCATCAGTGATTAACCTATTATCACAAGGATGACTTAGATCCCAAATCTATTTTAACATGTTCTTCTCACTTTCCAATATCAAATCAAAAGTATCTAACAGTAATAATGAAGTGACATCACTGAATTTACCATATATTTTAAAAAAATTATTTGCTGTCTTTTTTTTACAACTGTCTAACAACTCAGTTTCAACAATATTTAGAATTTATTTATTGTCTAGAAAATAATACAGAACAAATTAAAAATATTTCAGGTATATATGAAAAGAATAATATTGTTATAAATGAAAATAAATTACATAGGATAATTTATTACATTTGGATTTTATATTCAAGTTAAAGTGGTTTGATTAAGCGTACTCACTGAATGTAAACAAGACAGTATCACTGGAGTATCACAGGTATGAGCAAAATTATGTTATTAATAATGGCAGTAATATTTCTTTTAGTGAAGCAGAATGTCATAATAATTCAAAGGCACAAATACATCTTAATTGTTTCAAATAAAAATCATAAAATTAACATATGATTAAAAACTTATAATTAATTTTTGGCACTGAAATAAATAATTTGATTCATAATATCTTTACATTATATAAATGGTTAATTCACAGACTAAAATTCATCAGAAGTTTACTGGATCAAATAGCTTTTGAAAATGTTTTTATAGGTATTAATACTAAAAATAAAGCAAAACTTGAAGAACATTATATTGGTATTAGATATTAATATTAATTGATTGACTATATATTACTCCACAAAATAATAAATAAATCTGTAGAAATCATAATTTTTAATTAAATTCCTTTGCAAATCACTGTAAAATATGTTGACATTTAATTTGTGCCAGTTTTTGAAATAAGTATGTATTAAAATTCTGATATTATTTCCAGATTATAGGTTTTAAATGTAGATTGTCATTATTTAATTGCACACACTCTAATAAGTAATAGCCATGTTTTCTGTGGAATCTTTGCCTCTCAGTTTAAAATAGCATAGGGTTCAGATTATCTTAACAGTGCTTACATTCAGTGAACTTTTGACATTTTATACTAACAGTTAAGAGTACTCTCAGACAGTAAAAACATATACACAGTTATATTGATGTATTTAGTCTAGAACAGAAAAATAAGAAACAAGTTACTTCAGTTCTACTCATATTTTTCAATTTACTACAAGCCATTTCTTACTTGGAAATTTTTACAAATAGTGTAATCTGGAGCATTCCATTGAAATGTTAAAATAAAAGAGATTTATCACAGTAATGCCTTGCTCCTGCATGGCATACATTTCAAGGACAAGAGGTAAGGATCGCTCAAAGAACTGAAACAATACACTTGAAACAGTCTGTTTACAATTATTTCCAAATTATCTATTGATTTCAGATAATTATTCCATATGAGTGGCAAGAAATTTAACTATATATATATATATATAAAGAAATATCTCCATCCATTACTTTACATAGAAATTCCAATGAATATGAAAACAACATTCAAATTGAGAAAACACAAAAATAACTTCTCTTTATTATGATTTCTCTATTTTTGCAGTGTAGCACAAATATAACAACAGTAAACATGCGAAATTGGTTTTTTTAGTCATCTGAACTCTTTCAGTATCACTAGTTCAACTCCATCTGGCCCTATCCAGGAAAAATCAGCCCTCATGATCACTGCTTCATAGACACTTTACTAACTCGTTCACTTGTACAAACTAATTCAAGTATTTTGACTAGTTTTAGCACACTGATAACAAACAAAATAAAGCACAAAAAATACAGCAAAACAGATGATTAGACAGACATAAACTCAATACAGTCAAGTCTGTGAGAAATCAAGTGGATAATCAAGTTAGTGAAAAGGACCTAACTGGTTTGTTTGTTCAGACACTATTCAAATTTCGAGATAGGCACAAGAATTTTGTTCTTCAGAATATGCCAGAAAGGTAAAATGGAGAGATTCCTACGTTACCACCCCGAAATATATGGCGATGACACTGTGGAATTTTGGTGTCTTAACACGCAGATGAGCATATTCTGTCCTCTTGATGGCCAGCAAAGTGGATAGCATAAAATTACTTACTTGTCTCTCCTTGGTTGACAATTTCAAGTACTTGGTAAATAAAAATATTCAAGGGTGGCATTAACCTTGTACTCAGAAAATTATGATGAAACACTTTCAAAGCAGGTCCCTCTAAACTATTAATTTCTCCAATGTTCTATAGGAGTGTATTCTCAAACATCAATATTTGAGCTATTCAGTGAATACCTGAAACACCAAAGGTTATTAATATGGTGGGGCCCCAAACACCTTTGGCTAAGTTAAGACATAGTCTAAAACTTGCTCTCAATGGATGTGTATTATTTAGTCATGAATACATTTTCCTTATATATGAGTTAAATCATATTTTAATGTTTTACCTCTGGGAGTTTGCATAGCTTGGAAGTTAATAAGCATAGACCCTAACAAGTGATATTAGAAAGTCTGTGTTGAATAGTTAAGGAATTTCTTCAACCAAAGTTGTTTATCAAAAATCTTAAAATGATTTCCAGCTACAACAATTACAATAAAAACACATAGTGGCAATTTGACTGTTTATAATCGATATTCAATGGCACATTTAAATGTTAATTAACTTCCCCTTAATTTAACTAAACTCAGATTTCTAATTTCCACTAGCCAGTTTCACTTAATGAAGAAATTATAAAATTTTAAAAAATGATTCTAAAAGTTTTATCTAAATCTGTGCACTAAAAATGTATCTGAGGATATTATCTGAAACATTTGAACACTAAATACTTGGTTTGTGGTAAAATATTTAAAAATAAAAGAAAATTATGTATTTATAAATATATCACAATAACAAAATAATATTGTTCCCATTTCAATTTACTTTATTTGAAGCTGAGGGCAGAAGTCAGTATAATTTTCACTAGCAATACATTTATTTTTTGAATATTCCATTATGAATGATATGGCATATATAAAGAGACAGAGATTTAGGGTGTCTTTCTAATCTAATTTTATACATAACCAATATTTTTTTCACATGGGTAACAATTTTGATGTGGTACTTCAGTCTATCAAAAAAAATCAATGTTGAAATTGGACTGAAAAGAGTTCTCCAAAGATTCCTCAACTTTTAATACCTGCAAAAGATAATTGGCTTCTTTAAGCCTGGGTTCCCTGAAATTCTCCTAATAAAAAGTATAATCTTTATTACCTGCCTTCATTCTAAATGAAAGCCACTTGACTAACCTATTGCTCAAATTAGGATTCATAAACATGCAGGGCTCTCTTACACATTCAGCTCACAAAGCTGTTTTGTTGTTGTTTTGTTTTGTTTTTGTTTTGTCTTTTCATTATACCCTCGTGTTAGAGAGTTTGAAATATATTTCTTGGTGGTATGTGAGACAAAGTTCTTAAGAAACAGAGCACTCTAGCCATATAATAAATTGAAGCACTTCAATCATTGAATTGAATCATTACACAAGACCTGGTGCCAGTCAAGTCTCTATACTGAAATTCCTAAGAAATGAACAACCACAACAACGACAACAAAAGAAAATGGATTATGGGCAGGAAATATTTGATCATATGTATATGTGTACAAGCTATTCCAAGCTAAAAGTTTCCCAACAAATTAAGGTCAGTGGAATAATTTTGGTCATAGGGTCACTGCAATCCAGATGGTGTTTGTAGTGTTGATCAAGCCACTGCGATATTGTTATGCTTTGCCATCATCTTCTTTTGATTGGATGATGTCATTAGAAACTTTAATTTCTATAGTGTCTGGATTTAGGACTTCTTTCCCATTTTCTTCTTTTAAAGGCAATTTTCTGGAAAGAAATAAAAATTTCCACTTTTAAGAAATGCTAATATAAATTCTTTAACATTCTAGTTACTGTTTGGAGAAAAATATGCTGTAATTATTAAATGGAAAAAATTTTAAGTACTATAGAGAGTAAAGTAACTGAAAAGATAATAAATTTTAACATTGCTTATTGTCAAAATGTAAACCAAAGCAGACAGATGTATTATCAAACATATTTGCAGATTTGGATGAACCAAATTATTCATGTAGGGCAGCTTAGATGTAATAACCAACAGATATTAAATTATAAATGGTTTGGATTATAAAAAGTCCAAATCTTTTTAAAAGTCAGAACATAATATTTCAGTTCTCATTTTTTTCAAGAAAAAGTTTTAATAATTGCTGACATATTTTGTCACACAAAATTTAAACCTGTGTGAGTGAGCATGTGTTGTAATTCATGCATATTAATATATTTTAGGATTCTTCGGGTTGTTTTTTCGAGACACAGTTTCACTATGTAGTTCAAGGTGGCCCTGAAGTCACTATGTAGCCCAGGCTGGCCTCCAACTCATGGCAATCCTCCTGCCTCTGCCTCTTAAGTGCTGACATTATAGGCTTGAGCCACCACGCCTTGCTTGGTGTTTTCATTGTTATTTTTTTTATGTTACTTTTATACCACTTCTGAGTACTTTTTTTTTTACTTTTAACCTATAAAGCAATAATAACCTTTATTAATATTAATCTAGCTTCACATATGTTCATGTTAATGATATTAATTGATGACATTAAATCAACATTTCCTGTTCTTTCATCTACCATTGTAACATTCACTAAGTTCTGGTCACATCTTGTTTACATGATTTTTGACGAGAGGTGAAATATCTTCCCTTGAGAAAATGTTTTTTACTTACACTGAGAATTGATTTATTTCTTTTTCAAAAGTGTTTTAATTCATTTCTGTCTTTAGTCCCATCATTTTGTGGGGAGTGAATATTGCTATTGTACTTCTTACTTGATAATTTATTTTATATTTTTAAATACAGAGTATGAACAATTGTATTGTGACCATAAAGCAATGCCGATGAATGTAGTAATTAAATAATGCAAAAGTACTAATGAAAATAAAAATTCTAGAAAGGTAAGGTTTGGAAAAAGCCAATAAGTTCCATTATTTAGAATAAAGTGGTATCTATAGTCTATCAGGGGAAGCTCTTTTATGTAAGTAGAGCATTGACACTTTTTTTCTCTTCCATTCTAGAGCGATGCAAACATGGGCAATAAGGAATTATGAAACAAATTAATCATCTCTGGTATCCACAGGTAGAGAAATTTTGAGCTCTGATAGGAGCTTAATATAATGTCTAAATATCACATTTCACAAACTCAAAATATAATTAAGGAACAAAATGAAAGATAGATATTAGGAAATAAGAAGAAGTTATTCAAGTAGGAAGGGAAACAAGAGATTGGGGAGGAGGAAACCAAGGAAGGGAAAAGGAATTTAAGGAAAAAGTAAAGACTTGAAGAAAAAATAGAGATTTTGTAAATGAGAAGAGGAAGAAGGGTTGGAGGGATGGGAGGAGAAAAAGGACAAAATAAAATTTAAGATATGATATGTACATATTATAATATGTATATATGGTATGTGGATATTATAATTATGTATACAAATGTGCTAATTACAAATAAATAGAAAAACATAATGCCTAATATATTTCTAATATATTTGAATTTTAATGACCTGTTTTCAACTCATTAGTGGACGATATATTTCTGCATACAGAAATTTTCACTAGTTTTGCTTATGTTAAATAATTTTCAAGATTACTATTAATTATATTATTTTACTGTTGACTATTTCTTTTAAATAATTAAGGCCTAGGGTAGTTATTAAGTCATGGACCAGCTGTATGACAGGGTATTTCTCAAAAGATTCCATACACACCAGTATAACTTTGTAAGTGTTAATTAGTAGGAATTAGCATTGTTGTCTAAGTGAAAAGACTTCAGTGAAAAGTGAAAAGACTTGTGATATTGAAGAGATTTTAGAATCTGCTTTATGACAGCTGTCTCTAAAACAGTAAACTTCATGAGAGAAATTAATAAACTCTAAATGTAATTGCTAAAAGTGGTCAGATATTCATACTGAAATATTAGCTACAGAATAGTACTTTGTGTCTCTCAACATTGTTTCAACCATTAATATCAGATGCAAGTTCAGAAAAAAATTTTTTTTCTTCAGTTGCAACAACACTTAGCATATGATTGGGAATAAAATTCCTAATTCAAGTGAACTCTGGAAGGGAATGCTATCAAGTAGAGAAAAAATACACCTGTTTGGAAAAACAATGAAATGTAAAATTATTTTGAAGAGGAATATAATGTAATTATGGGTTTTTTGGTGTCAAATGCATTCAGTGAAACATTAGTACTACTTAGTTTGAATAATTTTAATGTTCATATGAATGAACCTAGACATATTTTCATCTTAATTGGTTTAGCTGGATATCAACTACCATTGTAATAGAGCAATTAAGGATACAAACATAAATAAATAACATAGTTGCAAATGGAGACTAGACATCATTTACTACATACACATTAAAATGATAGAGTGTTTAGCAAGATTTCTTCCTTTTCCACATTATATTTTTAATTTAATAGTCTTGGACAAATTTCATTGTCATACATTCAAAATGAGGAATGATTTTTTGACTTAGCATTATTTCAGTAAAAATAAATAAATTTTGAAATAATCACTTTTCTAAACAGCAAGAGTTGTGTTAGAATGACCAACTTATATTTTGACATGTTTGTATATAATTATAAATACACAAATCAATAGTGGAATATCTGTGATATTGCTACAAATTATTCATCTGAAATATCCCCATATAAATGAATTTTTGATATCCATATGTACTTTCATTAAGAAAGAAACAGTTTAATTCTTTGACAAATGATGCTGATATTTGTAAGTTCATATTACAAATATGGACAATATGTGATCACTTCACTAATATTTATCAAAATACAAGTAAGCAGTGCAAGCTACATACTCAGGTTCTGTTAGTGGTGTAGTTTCATTTGGCTCATTTACTGGGCTTCCATCTTCATGATTAGTAATTCTTTCATCCTCTGTTCTCATCTCTACTATTGGTTCTTTTGATCCATCTTTCCTAGATAAATAAATTTTAAAAATGTTATAATTAAAAAATAAATTTTTTACAGAAAACACTTAAAAATCTCCAGTTAATTCTACCTTCCTTCAAATAAATCCAACATGATTGTGTTCACCATACCCATAATATTTTTAAATTAAAATTAATTTTACTATATATTTTCACTCAGAATAAATAAAAGAAATCTCATTTTGTCTTGACCTCTTTTGTCATCAGGGTTGTGTAAATAATTTGCAGAAGTACTTTACATTTTAATATCTATTACTGTAACTTTTGGAAAATAAAAAGTATTTTATGAAATATAATGCAAAACATGAAATAGATTCTTCCTAATGGACCACATTTTAAATATAAAAATGTTTTAAGACATTAAAACATTTGAAGTGCATCTTCAAAAATATTGATTCTATTTAGAACTTAAAATTTACATATAAGATATCTTGTTCAATATCATTTTATGAAAGATCATTATTAAAAGTGACCGCTGAGTTTTACAATATTCATATTTTTCAAGAAAAGTTTAGATAAACTCAAAAAATAAATATGTGCATTTTCATCTACAAGTTCATGTTTAAATATACTTTTATATACCTAAATATATGAATAATATTTTGCATAATTGGTGAAAATTTGGAAGCTAATTGCAAGGGAAAAGTCCCCAAAATTAAGCAAAAAGAGATAATATTAAGAAGCCAGAGTGATGATAAATGATGAAAGGCGATAAAAGCCTTGAGACTTATGTACTCTTGATACAATTTCAAATATACTACAAAATGAAAGAATGGGGAGATGGGGAATTTCAACTGCCCAGGCAAACAATCTCACTACTCAACCAATCAATTGTGCTTCTTCATAGTAAAATGATTTGATAACTTACATATATACAAATATCAGCACATTAATATTTACAGAGGCGCTATTCATAATTGTACCAAATTGGCAACAACCAAGACACCTTCCATTTAGTGAATGCATAAAGAAATTAATACATATATTTCACTAGAAATGATCCAAGCCATGGGAAGATATTGAAGAACATAACAAAATGAAGTAAGTGAGCTGCAAAACACTTGATTCTGTGTGATTCCAATTATACACCATTCTGGAAAAAGTAGAAATTATGAAGAAAATTGAAAAGTCAGTGTTTGCCAAGAATTACAGAGACATAGATACGAATAGATGGAGTGCAGGGATCATTAGGGATACTGAAACTCTGCTATTTGATACTGCAATTCTTGATAAATGACATTGAAATTAATGATTAAAAAGTATATAAGCTGGGGCTGGGGATGTAGCTCAGTGGTTCCACCACTTGCCTCACAAACGCAAGGTCCTGAGTTCGATCCCCGGTACCAAACCCCCCCCCAAAACAAAAAACTAAAACAAAATTCAAAAAGTGTATAAACTAAGAATGGCACAAAACAAAAGAACAAACAGAAAGAACAAAGTCCCAGAGATAATTGATCATGCAAATATTGAGATTTGAAGGGTAATAATACATTTTTTTATCAGTGGCAGATTTGATATTTTTGCTCTTATCTGGACATGGACCATATACATACATGCATCAACATGTGAAGAATGGGTGTCGGTAAATATATAAGGAAATATAATTGTCAGTTATCAATTGCTTACTGAATATATGTATATTCAGACTGTCTACTTATTCTTGTATAAATTTTAGCAGATGTGTTTTTCAAATACTGTAATTTATTTCATCTAAGTAATCAAATTTGTGGATACATATATATTCATTGTATGCCTTTATTAATAGGTGAAGGCCGTCCTCTCGTTAATCATGTGCTCTCTTTCATTTCACTTTTTAAATTGATATTCTATTGGCACATGTTTGCAGTACACAGTGATTACATTCTGCATGAGAAGTTGGTGAATGTACATAACAAATCTCAGTTCTCTTTTACATCTCCTCCTCCCTGCCCACCTCTCTCCATCCATCTCTTGCTCCCTTCCTACTTGATTTGTTCCCGTTCTGTAAGTTTCTTCTTCATTCTGATGGTTTTTTCTTTTGCTGTGCTGTGCAAAAGCTTTATTATGTGATACAATCTTATTGGTAGATTCTTGATGTTATTTGTTGTATAACTGGGGTTCTGTTCAGAGAGTCCACGCCTGTGTCTATGTCTTCAAGAGTTTACCTCTTTTATCATATGGTTCTAGATTCAATCTTTTGCAGTACATATCCGACTGCTAAGCAAGATTTGTAACAAGGACTATCTTTTCTCTAATGTATGTTTTCTGCTGTTTTGTCAAAGATCAGATGGCTCAAGGTGCTTGGGATTGTTTCTGCATCCTCTGTTCTGTTTTAAGATCTGTTTTTGTGCCAGTACCATACTGTTTTTGTTTTGTTTTTTTTTCATTGTTTTTGTATCACTGTACCTTTGTAAATATAAATTAAAAACTGTTTTTGATGCTTTAGTCCTTTTGCCTAGGAATGTCTTTGCTATTCTGGGTCTCTTCCACTTCCATATAAATTTTATAATTGTTTTCTTTAGTTCTGTGAGGAATGCTGTTTGTAGTTTGATTGGGACTGTATTAAATCAGGTTAGTAACATGGTCATTTGGACAATATTGGCTCTGTTTATTCAGGAACAAGGAATATCTTTCCACTTTCTGGTGTCCTTTTCAATCTCGTTTTTCAAGTATTGCAGTTTTCATCATAGAGATCTTTCATGTCATTCTTGGGTCAATTTCTCAGTATATAATTTTTCTTGATGCTATTTGAGTGGTACTTTTTTCCTAATTTCTTTCTCAGTAAGTTCATTATTGGTGTACCAGAATGTTATTGATTTTTGTGTGCTGATTTTTTAGACTGCTATGCAACTGAATTTAGTGATTAATCGTATGTATCTTGGTGGAATTTTGGGGGGGGTTTCTATTTAAAGCACCATGTCATTTGCAAATAATAATTTGATATGTTTTCTTTTCTGTACTTACCCCTTTCATGTCTTTCTTTTGACTGATTGATCTAGTTAATGTCTACAGTACTGTATTAAACAGGAAGGGTGATAATGGACATCCATGTCCTATTCTTAATTTTAGAGGGAGAGCTTTCACCTTTTCCTGTTTAATATGATTTTGATAGTAGTTCTGTATTAAGTGGCTTTTATCAGATTGAGATAAGATCTTTCTATACCTACTTTCTACATAGTTTTTTCCTAAATCAATGTTGGATTTTCTCATGGGCTTTTTCTGCATCTATTGAGATGATCATCTGATTTTTGTCCTTGCTTCTATGTGATGTATTACATTTATTAATTCATGTGTGTTGAATCATGGTTACATCCATGGGAATGAAGCCTCCTTGGTTATGATGTATGATTTTTTTGATGATTTGCCGCCTTGTCAGTTTCATGTTGAGGATTTCTGCATCTATATTCATTAAAGAGATTGGTCTTTTGAGGGGGACCATTATTTGGTTTTGTAATCAGTGTAATATTAGCTCTCAGGAATGATTTTGGATGTACTCTTTCCCTGTCAAACTCCCTAAAGAGTTTCAGGACTATTGGTGCTATAACTTCCCTGAAGTTCTTGTAGGATTCAGTAGTAAATCCTTCAGGGCCTGGGCTTTTCTTCAGTGGTTATTGACTGAATTTCATTGCCTATAATAGGATTATTTATAGTTTTTATATCTTCTTAGTTTAATTTGGTAATCCTTATGTATCTAGATAGTCTATCTATTTCTTCTCGATTCTCCAAATTATTGGAGTACAGAATTGTGAAGTAGTTATGAATTATCTTCTGGATTTCAGCATGTCTATTGTGATATCAACTTTTTACTTTTAATTGCATTGATATGGTTTATTTTTCTCTTTTTGAGACAGATTAGGAATTTTTTAATCCTTATTTCCTTGAAGAACCAGTTCATTGAGTCACTGATTCTTTTAGTCTCAATTTTATAAATTTTTATACAGATCTTTATAATTTCCTTCCTTGTACTAGCTTTTGATTTAGATTTTTCTTTATTTATGACTTTGAGGTGCACCATTAGGTTATTCATTTGGGCTTGCTCTCTTTCTCTGATGTGGGGAATTCATAGCTATACACTTGCTTTCTATGACTGCTTTTGCTGAGTCCCATAGGTTCTGGTATGTTTTACTGGAATTATCATTTAATTCTAGGAACTATCTAATTTCTTCCTTGATTTCTTTTATGACCAATTGACTACTCAGTAATGTATTATTTAATCTCCATGTGTTTGTATAATTTCTGTGGCTTCATTTCCAATTGATTTCTAGTTTCATTGCTCTAAGATCTAATTGTCTGCATGGATAAAATTAAATTTGATTTAAGCATACATTAGGGTTAGTATGTGACTATTTTGGAGAAAGTTCCACATACTGCTAAGAAGAATATATATTTTGCTGTTAATGGTTGGAATACTCTGCAGATATCTACTAAGTAATTTCTCATATTGTATTTTCTCTCTCCCTTCTCTCTCTCTCTTTCCTTTTGTCGCTGTCTCCTCAGTTAGTCTGAATAGCAGCCTAGCAATTTTATTGATATTTTGAAAAATAACCAACTTTTACTTTCATTCTCTCTACTGATTTCATTTTTTAAATTAACTTATTTGTTTTCTAATATATATTATTTGTTTTCTTCCTATAGCTTTGTATTTAATTAATATTATTTTATTTTTGTAATGTAAACATTTAAGTAATTGATTTTAGATCTCCTTTATTTTTTAATACCTCCACTTGTGATCATTAATCATGACATGTTAACTTCCAATGAAGTCTTGAACTGGGGACTTTTTAGTGGCTTTCCAGGCCTTTAATCCTGGAGTTGTCTGTGGCAACTCTTCTTGTGTCTTCTTGGTGGTTCTACTACTATATCCTGCTGCTCTTCAGCATACAGTGGGTATCATGAAATTTCCCACTTCTGGTCTTGTAGGTCTACCTAAATAATTCCCCTTAGATAACTAACTATACATATATTTTCGATTGATTCTGTTTCCCTACATAGCTGCAAGAAATACAAAT